CGATTTAGACTGTCGATTAAGACAAAGTTGCACGCGAAATCTTCAAATGGCAAGCAAAAGATGCAGTTTTGATTAAACCTGTGAAAGACCCTGGATCATATGTGATCCAAGACCTTCTCTATTGTGTTCATCAACCTTTTATGTATTTTTTCCATACAACTCACTCCATCCGACCATTAACCAACTCCATTACCAACGAATATGTATCATTCCATCAAAAATACCTGCTGTGTTTCCCACACCAGCTGAACAAAAAAATTGTTTGACCCAAAAAAATGTCCAATAACAAAAAAAAAAAACACATCGTAAGCACTGCCGCATCACATTCTTTTCTCTTGTTTCATTCATCAAACTTTTACTTTGTCAGTCGTACCTGGCATTGTGAAGCTTCTCTGGGGCAATTTCTCTCACACAGCTCAAAAGCTTAGCTAAAGTTGTGTTTGTGTCGAAAACTGAGAGACTTTTGGAGTCTTTTGTTGTGTTTGTGCCGATGATGTGCAACCTGTGAGATTATTTTTTCTTGTTCATTTGTGTCTGTGCAACGTGGTTTTTGATTGACTCTCAATTTCTTGCTTGTAAAAACTCCGCTATTTGTTTAGTGAAACTGAGAAAGCAGCACATGCCATGCCGTTGACTTTTCTTATCATTTTTATGAGTTGTAAACTTTGTTGTCTGTTTACATTTTCCTTGTTTATGTCGCGCGTTTTTGAAGTTGTGCGTGCGGGTTTTGATGAAAGAGTTTGGAGGTTTTGTTGATTTTTGAAGTATTTTTTAATAATTCTGTGTTGTGCGCCATATTTTGGGGATACTTTAAACTATTTTGCTGAATATGGCGCATGAGAAATCTGAGAACTTATTTTTTTTTCAGAATTAAGATTAAAAATTGAAGTTTTATGCAATGTTTGTGCGTAATATTCAGCAAACCAGTTTAAAGTCTCTCCAAAAACTAGCGCACGATGTTTAAAAACTTCCGTAAAATCTCAACGCGTGCCGACTTCTTTTCTTCTCAATATTTCTTCCTCATTCTCAATTATTTTTACTCTCAATATCAGCAACTGAGTAGCAATCTACACTCGTTCAGATCCTATAACAATCTCAGTATCGTTTGAAATTGTCCAGTGCAAAAACGCGAAACCGCGGAGCTAGAAAAATTATTTTAATTTTTGTTGTAATTTGTAGGCAAAAAAAATGTAGAAAAAAAAATAATTGAAATAAAAAAATATAAAGCAGAACACAAAAGTTTCTTGAGAATTGAAATGAGATGGTGATTGCGTCATTTTGTAAGGTGGAAGCTGGTTAGGTGAACCTTTTGTTGTTGTGATTTTCGTGAAATGTGAAATGTTTAAAAAAGATGTGTAAAAACTTCGATTTAAAAACTGTTCCACAAAATTAAAAGCCAAAAATTCTAAAAGTGAAAAATCTTTTTTTAAAATAAATTTAAAAAAATTCAAAAAATTTGAAAAAAGGAACAAAAATTGAAAAAAAAATTTAAACTAATGTAAAAAAATCCAGAAAATTCAAAAATATTAAAATCATTTAGAAAAAGAAAAAAAGGAAAAAAATATGAAAAAAGTAAAAAAATTTAAAATTAAAAGAAATTTACAAATATTAAAACCAAGTTTAAAATCAATTTATAAAAAAAATCACAATAATTAATTCACATTAAAACAATTTTTATTGAGCAATTAAAAGACTCATTCAAGTGCAATTAAATTTCTGCAGCAAATCATTAAGATCAATCAGTAATTAAGATCAATGAAAAGTGCAAGTGTGATGAAAGATTTGATTCAGAACTTTATTGCACTATTGCAGTGTTTTTTGACTTGTTTACAACTTATTTTGAGGTTTTAAGAGTGAATAAAAAGTTGATTTTATGTGTCTTGGTTATAAATTGGAGCTAGAAGCGAGAATATCTTTTTTTTTGAAAACTGTGTCTAATTTCTGAGACCCTTCTTGGGGTCTTCTTCTCCTTAACTCTACCTTAGAAATTAGATTTGAAGTACTTTAATATCCTGAATGGCACAAGTCGGTTAATCGAAAATAAATCCAGTGCTAAGTTGGCATAACTCTGGAATGGTGCTGGTATCGATTTAAGTCGCGCATTATGCCAGAGTCACACCGGCTTGGTGCTGGATTTCTGATCGATTAACCAATTTTTGCTATTCGGGTTTGTCTCTTGCAAAAACAAATTGTCTGATAATAGGTTAAGGTCCTCCTATTATCCCTTAAAAACCAGCCCCCATAACTCAACCACAGTGGTTGCCAACCTTTTTTGAGCCACGACATTCTTTAAATAGTAAGCCATGACCAAAATGCTCACAGCATCCAAATCATTGGATTTCTCAATTTTCTCACACTAATGTGCCTCGGCACATAGGTTGACCATCACTGCACCACAAGAATCACAAAAAAAATTCCACTTCATATCAGTTCAGTTCATGATTAATTAATATCCACAGTAGAACAAAACAGAAGAAAAAAAAAGACGAATCAGACAATGACAAAAAGAGGAACAATTAACACATGAATGAAGCATTTCTCATCAATTAACGCAACTGATTGTGCCAATTAATTCAACAACATTTTTTTCAACTTGCTTTAAAACTTGCTTTTAAGTTTTATTTAAATTTTTTATGAATTGAAATGATTTTGTGGTTTTTCTGTTGATTTATGTAAGGCTGATGTGATAAATGGGTGACTTTTAATGATTATTTGGGAATCATAATTTGAGAAGACCTGTCCTAGAAGCTAGATTCTTCATCTTTTACCATTGGAGTCCGTTCAATTTGACTCCAAAACTAATCAATCAATTTTTATGCCAACATTTATGTATCCACGTGCCACACGACCACACATTATACCTGAAAAACAGCAAATGATACAAAAAACGAAGCAATTTTTCAATTAACCTGAAAGTTTTCATGACTTGCAGATTAACATTTGGCGAACATAAATTGATTATCTTGTTGTCTGTGCACAAATCAAACATTTACATATGTCGGTGGTTTTATAAGTTTAATTAATGAGTTTATTTTGTGGCTCCAAATTTGGGCTTTGTGGAGGGAAAGGCACAGTGAGGAGAGGACGGGGAAGTCTATTTGTTGGGAGCCAGTTCGAACTTTTTTACTTATTTTGTCTGTTAATTTTTAAACTTTTTCTGTGTTTTCCGGGGTTGAGTTCTTGTGTATAGCTTCATTGCCTATTGCTTGATCTAATGTTGGCTGCTTGCACAATTGTTATGTGGGCTTGTTTAACTGTCATGAACCAATCTGAATCGAAGGTCCTTAATCATAGGCTTCAATGACTTCCTAAAAAACAGATAAAGCATGGAGAGGGTCAAGAACGGTAAAATGGAAAAAGATCTTCTAAAAGTTTACTTACCCTGAGATTAACCTAGAACCTTTAGCACTTAGGGCCAACGCTCTACCAATTGATGTCATTTCACTGCTCAACGACTTCCGGGTCCTGCTAAGATTTGATACACAAGACGGGTCTCCGATCCCAAAAGAATTCTAATTAATCCCAATTCCTTTTCAATCAACTTTCATGCCCATATCCATATCCATACAACCAAAAGAGAAGTAAAAAAAAATAATAATCGAAATGTAAAGCAATAAAAGGCAACCTTCCACTAATTGATGCCTTTGTGCTCGCGCTCGCGCGCTCACTGATTTAATTTTGAGGTCGATTTTATTTAAACAACTTTTCTGATCGTAAATGTTAACGATCTGTTTGTTGTATCATATTAATTATTTTGCTAAGAGATATTGAACTGTAGCAAAGAATACAAAGTGTGTATGTCTGTACTCGGCTTGGCTTTTGTGCCGGTTGTGAGTAATCAGGAAAGAAAGAAAAAAATAAAAATAATAATTTTAATGACGTTGAATAAATTTAAAGGAGAATGTTTGATTTAATTGTAATTTTTTAAAGATTATTATGAAGGTGGGTCTAAGGCTGGTTTCTGGGGCTCTAAGGGGGACTTTCCTCGGAAGTTCTGAATATTTCTTTTTGATTCTAGATGAGGTTTTCACAGAGAAGCCCTTGCTTCTTCATCTCTCTAGATCAGTGGTGGGCAACCTTCTTTGTGCCAAGGCACATCTTGACAGTAAGTCATGACTGAAACCACACATAGGTTGACCATTACTGCACTAGACCACCACACTAAGCTTAGCCTAACCTCAGCCACCAGACGTACAATTTTCGCTCTAAATAAATCAAAAAATACCAGACAATTAATCATAAAAATTGCGATCAATATCGAGAATATAAAAATAATTTTTTTATTGTTATTTATTCTACATTGAAAATTGATATTGAGAAAATTGTAAAATTTATTGAATTTTTTTATTATTATTTTATCTTCAATGATGACATGCAATTAAGTTGTGAAATTGATGATTGGTGTGTCCGTGGAGTGATCTATGAATTTGTTTTAATGTCTGTATTGACATTTTGAAGGGTTTGCGGCATTGATTATTGGAAATTGTGATTTTATTGACAGTTTTGGAATTAAGGATAATTGTTTTTTTTTATTTTTTTAATTTTTTTTTAAATTTTTCAATTTTTTTGATTTTTTATTTTTTTTCTTTCCTCTTTAAATTTTTAAAATTTTCATAAATTTTATAACAATTGAAAAAAATTAATATTCAAAAATTGTTGATAAAAGAATTGACTTTTCTTATAATTAACATGACAAATTTAAAAAGGTTGAATATAAAATTGTGGTAAAATTATTACAAAAGAAACTTGAATTATTTTAACAAGAAATACAAAAAAAAATCTCCACAAAACAATTTCTATGTTCACATATAAATATTTATTGAACAATATTTAAAAAGCTATAACACAAATTGTTTATAATTAGCACGAAAAAATGCCAAACACTCGATATTTTCTCAAACAAAATTCAAAAAACGAGGAAAATCCGTTTCCTTAAACATAAAATTTTTAAAAAATTTGCTTAACCAAATGAAATTATTATTTATTTATTTTATTTCCAGACATCCATTAATCAATCGATAACTTCAACAAGCCAAAATAATAAAAATAAAAAAAAAATTGTGATGTGAAATAAATTAATTTTGTGTGCAATGTGTTTGTAATCATTAAAATTAATTTAAAAAAGATAAGAAAATTTTTGAAAAATAAAAAATTTTATGAGTGAAATCAAAGTGAAATAAAAATTAGGAAAATTATAAAAAAAGTGAAAAATGGGAGATAATTTAATTGGAATTACTAGTTTTCTGCATGTTGGTGACATTGTCTCGCTGTTTGCTGAAGGAAGCGTTTCTGGATTTTTGTCGACTTTAGGGTGAGTTGAAAAATTGAAAAATTGGAAAAAAAATTCAAAAAATTTCAAAAAATTCAAAACATTCAAAAAAATTCAAAAAATTAAAAAAAATTTCAAAAAAATTCAAAACATTAAAAAAAATTCAAAAAAGTTTTAAAAAAATTTGCGAAAAATTCAAAATTTTCCAAAAAAATAAAAAAAAAAATAAAATAATCAGAAAAAGATTTAAAAAATTAAAAAAGTGATTTTAATAAAATCAAAAATAATTTTTCAAATCTAATTTTTAAAAAACTTGATTTCAATTTCCAATTTTCTTTAAAACAATAATTTTATCTGCACATGTTAGCAATGCAAACATAACTCAGACAACTTTACTACGCAAATAGAAAAAAAACAAAAAAAAATTGAAACAACAAAAAAAGCATCTTTTTCTGTATCACTGTATTCATGTGTAGAACCTTATATAATAATATTATTAACAATTCTCATTTTCATCTCGACTTGTAGACTCGAAAGTCAAGGTCAGATTATGAAAATAATTATACTTGATGCTAATAAATTGTTTTGTGGATTTTAAACAGCTGGTGTGAATATTTGCTTTTTAAATTGGAATTTCGTGGAGTTTTATTGCGTTATGAATTTTTTAGTGATATGAATTATGGTTTCATTTCCTGTGGTTATATGTTTAGATGATTTTGTGGTTAAGGTTTTTAATAGATAAGCAGTGCTGTCCAAAATATGTGATCGGGTACACCAGTAAACTGTGTTCTGTATGTTCTAATTTACAGCAACACTTAACTTGAATTAAATCTAGAATTATTTATTTTGGAAAGTTTCAAACTTTTTAAATAAAATCGTGCATGAAAGTAATCTAAGTCAACTTATTTGAACCACTTGGAAGCAGCATTTAGTTACAGAGTAATGAATAAACTTAAATAAATCTTCGCTTCCTTTGTGTGTTCAGAAAATAAGTTTTGCATCTTTAATGTGTTCAGAAATTAAGTTTTGAATCTTTATTGTGTTCAGAAATTAAGTTTTGCATCTTTAGGGTGTTCAGAAATTAAGTTTTGCATCTTTAGTGTGTTCAAAAATAAAACTTTGCATCTTTTGTGCGTTCAGAAATAAAATTTTGCATCTTTTTTGGGTTCAGAAATAAAATTTTACATCTTTAATGTGTTAAAAAATAATACTTTGCATTCTAAGTGGGTTCAGAAATACAATTTTGCATCTTTTGTGCGTTCAGAAATAAAACTTGCTATCTTTTGCGCGTTCACAAATAAAAATTCGCCTCTTTTGTACTTAGAAATGAAATTTGGAATCTTTGATGTGTTCAGAAAAAAAATTGTACATCTTTGGTGTGTTCAGAAATAAAACTTTGCATCTTTTTTGAGTTCAGATTCAGAAATAAAATTTTGCATCTTTTGTGCTTAGAAATTAAGTTTTGAATCTTTGGTGTGTTTAGAAATTAAATTTCGCTTCTTTTGTGCGTAGAAATGAAATTTTGAATCTTTAAGGTGTTCAGAACTAAACTTTTACATCTTTGTTGTGTTTAGAAATAAAACTTTGCATCTTTTTTGAGTTCAGAAATAAAATTTTTCATCTTTCGTTTCTTCAGAAATAAAAATTTGAATCTTTTGCGTTCTAAAATAATTTTTTTATCTTTTGTGTGTTCATGAATAATAATTCGCATCCTTTGTGTGTTCAGAAATAAGATTTCACTTCCTTTGTGTTCTCAATAATAAATTATTATATTTTTCGTATGTTCTCATATATGCAAACACAGAAAATCAACAGAACCGCCACTTGTAGCTCACTGAGTGTCTCAAATTTCATAAAACAATTTAAGATCAACAGAAGCATATCGAATAACGATTATTGATTGAATAAATCACATCTCAGCTGATCAATGTAAACAACAAAAATCATGACATTAAGTAAAGCACACTGAATGATCCATTCTCATTTATATCCAATCAACAGGGCAAAAAATCAGTAAAAACGCTTTCAAAAAAGAAAATCCAACAAAAAATAATTTTTTCATCGCCAAATCTCTCGCAAACCAAACAAAAGCCAAAGCAATTCCGAACAAGTATTTTTTAAATAAATAAAGAAATTTTGTGAAACTTCACATCCCACAATAAAGTCAAAATACACACAAAAAGCCGGCTAGCAATTTTTTTCCTCTTTACTGAACTTCTTCTTCGATGAGAACTGCTGGCATTTCTAGGAAAATTTACCAAAAATTGCTCCACTCTCGCTAAGTTATGAAAGAAGCTTGGGAGATTCATTTTTTTAACTAAGTTGTCTTGAATAAGTCATTGACACTGGCATGATCTAGCCCACATCACATCATATCTGACACAGTCACTAATCTCAAATTGTGCAATCTGCGCTCATTCTCGTTATTAAATTTCAAATCTTTTCTCATTCAGTGATTGTGTATTAAGCTGGTTTTAAGAATTACATTGTTGCAATTAAGTCATTTTGTTGTTGTTGTTTTGCTTTATGATATTTAATCAAGTGAGTCGGTTTTTAATTAGTTTACTAAGGCTGAGAATGATTTATTCTATAAATACTGAAGAATTCGTTCATAAATTATACGTAAAATGCGCTTTAATCTATAGCAATGATTTCTTACTTGTTTACAATTTTTTGAAATTATTTTAAATTTTTAACAAGCTTAATTTACGACCATTGTTGACAATTTTACATCTTTTTCCCTTCCATTCCAGCCTAGTCGATGACAGAACAGTCGTTTGTCCCGAGTCGGGTGACCTCAACACACCACCCAAGAAATTCCGTGATTGCCTCCTCAAGATATGTCCCATGAATCGTTACTCAGCACAGAAGCAATTCTGGAAGACAGCCAAGCAGTCAACAACAGCATCAACTGATGCTTCTCTACTTAAACGACTTCATCATGCAGCTGAGATTGAAAAGAAGCAAAATGATTCAGAAAATAAAAAGTTATTAGGAACGACTGTTCAATATGGTTCAGTCATTCAACTTTTGCATTTAAAATCAAATAAATATTTGACAGTCAACAAGAGACTTCCGTCGCTGCTTGAGAAAAATGCGATGAGAGTTTATCTTGATGCGAATGGAAATGAAGGCTCGTGGTTTTATATCATGCCATTTTATAAGCTTAGATCGACTGGTGATAATGTTGTGGTTGGCGATAAAGTTATTTTAAAGCCGGTAAATGCCAATCAACAGAACTTGCATGTTGCTAGCAATTATGAACTGCCTGATAATCCTGGGTGTAAGGAGGTTAATGTGCTGAATTCGAGTACTAGTTGGAAGGTAAGAATGAATATTTTGTGCTATGTTGCCAAATTTTTGGTGAAATTTAAGCTATGTTGCAAAACTTTCAGTGAATTTCTAGCTATGATGTCAAACTTTTAGGAAAATTTGAGCATTGTTGCTAATTTTATATGAAATTTGAGCTATGTTGCCAAATTTTATACAAAATTTGAGCTATATTGCCAATTTTCAGGGAAATTTGAGCTGTGTTGCCAAACTTTCAGGGAATTTTGAGATTTACAGCCAAATTTTGGATGAAACTTGAGCTATGTTTCCAAAGTTTCAGGATCATTTGAGCTATGTTGCCAAAGTTTCAGGAAAATTTGAGCATTGTTGCCAAATTTTATATAAAATTTGAGCTATGTTGTCAAATTTTATGTGAAATTTGAGCTATGTTGCCAATTTTCAGGGAAATTTGAGCTGTGTTGCCAAACTTTCACGGAATTTTGAGATTTACAGCCAAATTTTGGATGAAACTTGAGCTATGTTGCCAAAGTTTCAGGATAATTTGAGCTTTGTTGCCAAAGTTTTAGGAAAATTTGAGCATTGTTGCCAAACTTTCAGGGAATTTTGAGATTTACAGCCAAATTTGATATGAGTTTCGAGCTATGTTGCCAAATTTTATATGAAATTTGAGCTATGTTGCCAAACCTTCGACTTAATGTCAATTTCTAAACCCCACAGATCAACCTATTCATGGAACACCGAGAAAACCTAGACGACGTTCTCAAAGGCGGTGACGTAGTTCGACTGTTCCATGCTGAACAAGAGAAATTCTTGACAATGGATGAATACAAAAAGCAGCAACATGTGTTTCTACGTACAACAGGTCGAACATCAGCAACAGCTGCGACAAGTTCAAAGGCATTATGGGAAATTGAGGTCGTTCAACATGTAAGTAATATTAACTTTTTGTTGGTTGTCTGTTTGACTGGTTGGCTGAGCTTGCTAAAGCTCACTTTGAATTGCTGGATGAGCTTTTAAAGACTCAGTTTGTATGGTTGGCTGGCTGATTTTGATCTTATACTATAACTCTAATTGTAGGATCCATGCAGAGGCGGTGCTGGACATTGGAATAGTTTAATGAGGTTTAAGCACTTAGCAACAGGTTTTTACTTAGCAGCAGAATTAGACAGTGATCCTGGATACCAAGATTCATACAGGTAAGTCAGCTTAACTCAAAATTGTTACTAAGCTTTAACATATGAATTCTAACCTCAAAATTTCGAAAAATTGTAGACTCGTCTCCGTTCCATACTCAACCGACATAGCCTCAGTCTTCGAACTCGATCCAACGACAATGACTCGTTCAGACTCCCTCGTGCCACAAAGCAGTTACGTTAGACTGCGTCACTTGACCACTAATACATGGGTTCATGCCACAAGTGTTCCAATTGATGCTGAAGAAGACAAGCCAGTCATGAGTAAAGTTGGCTGTAGTGCAATAAAAGAAGACAAAGAAGCATTCGCTGTGATTCCGGTGAGTCCAGTGGAAGTAAGAGACTTGGATTTTGCAAATGATGCCTGTAAGGTGCTGATTATGATGTCACAGAAGTTTGCACAAGGAACAATTAGTCATAATGAAAGGAAGTCAGCGATTTCATTGCTTCAAGACATTGTGTACTTTATTGGTGATATGGAGAATGAGCAGAACAAGAATGAAGCTTTAGACTTGACAATTTTGAATCCAAATCGTGATCGGCAGAAGCTGTTGAGAGAGCAGTACATCCTTAAGCAACTGTTCAACATCCTTCAAGGTCCATTCAAGCCATATAATGACCAGCCTGCATTTTTATCAATCGATGAACTCGGCGACCCCAAAAATGCTCCATTTAAGTACATCTTCCGACTTTGTTATCGAATTTTGAGGCTTAGTCAGCAAGATTATCGTAAAAATCAGGAATACATCGCCAAACATTTTGGATTAATGCAGAAGCAGATCGGATATGATATTTTAGCTGAAGATACAATAACAGCACTGCTGCACAATAATCGAAAGCTTCTCGAAAAGCACATCACACCAGCTGAAATTGAGACATTCGTGGGACTTGTAAGGCGCAACATGATCAGCTGGGAAAGTCGATTTTTGGATTATTTGAGTGACTTGTGTGTTAGTAATAAGAAAGCTATCGCCGTGACTCAAGAATTGATCTGTAAATCTGTACTAAGTGCTAAGAATGCTGACATATTGATTGAGACTAAGATGATGTCGTCTGAGGATTATTGGCAGGCTGTTAAGGATGAAGACGATGATGACTTTGATGATGACAGGAAGAGCAATGAAGTGGTGTTGTCGTGGAGTAATGGGAAGGTCAGTAGATTCTGGGAATTTAAGAATTTTGGATAAAGACCTTACTTTTGAAACTTAGGACCCCCAAAATTGAGATTATTTTTGATTAAAATTATTAAATTTGGAACAGTAAACCCCAAAAAATCATAATTTCAGGTCAAATGCCATAAAATTGAAACAGGAGACCCCTAAAATTTTGAATTTGAGGTTAAAATGCTCAAATATTTTATCAATATATACCAAAAATTGAAGATTTGGTGCCAAAAATAGCAACTTTAAAACCTAGGACCCCTAAAACCATATAATTAAATTTCCACCTTTTTACCTTCCAGAAACTCAAATCCCTTTCAGAAATCGGACGCGGTGCCAAGCTCAACATCACAATAGACATCGCACTTCTCGACTATTACCGTCATCAACTCAATCTCTTCTCCAACATGTGCCTGAATCGACAATATCTTGCTCTAAACAACTTGTCACCACACCTTGACATCGACTTAATCCTCCGCTGCATGTCCGACGATTCAGTTCCTTACGAACTTCGAGCATCATTTTGTCGACTCATGCAGAACCTTCATGTTGATCGAGATCCTCAAGAGCCAGTTACTCCTGTGAAGTATGCGAGATTGTGGAGTGAGATTCCAGCAATGATGTCTATTTATGATTATGACTTTAAGAAGAGTCCAGATAGCAATAAGGAACAGGTCAGGGCGAGGTTCAACACGACAATTGCATTTGTTGAGAATTATTTGTGCAATGTTGTGAATAAGATGTGGCTGTTTAGTGATCAGGTGAGTTTTTTTGCGAATGCGGGGGGAGGGGGGGGGGGGGGGGATTTTGTAAAGGGGGGGAGGGGAAAAAATTTTATATGGAAAATTCAATTTTATGATTTTTATGATTTTTTCATAAAACTCCTAGCATAATGAAGAAACTTGTGTTAACGTCAGGGGATTTGTCCCCCAAATCCACCCCCTCATTACGCACCTTGGGGAGGGGGTGGAACTGGGGTTGGTTTGATCAAATCTTAAAGGGGTGTCTTATTTATAATTTATTGTCAATTTTTGAGAGGGTTTGTATGCGTTTTGATGCGTTTTTGTATAGGTTTTGAGGTTATGTGTTATTTATTGGGTTAATTGAATTTCAACATTATTAAATTTTTAAGCAAAGTAACAGAATCAATCTAAGAGAGTTGAAATTCAAGAATTTCCCAAACAAAACCCTAATTCGCGATTATAGTGCGCGCACTATCTGAAAATAATTCTTTCAAAAGAGCGAGTTGTGCTCACAAAATATCAAAATTCTCTCAATTCTCTTTTTGCCTTGTATGACGAAAGTGCTTGGGAATTCCAGAGATTCTCAAACATTGTGAAAAATGTGTTTTTGCGTTTATAAAGCAGTTGATAATGTTGGAATATTTGAAATAAATCATCAAAATGGTCAAATTTGTTGTTTTTAAATATTATGTGATAGAATTTAATATTTATTAAGTCTTTTTTTGAGCTGATTCATCAAACAACTGGGCTCAAGTAGTGCATTGAACTAATTTTATCGAATTCGATTGTGAAATTTATTCAAATTATTGCTTAATCAACATTCTGTGTCCAATTTCACACAGTAAACACTTCAAATTCCCCAACTCATCAATCTATTCCATGAAAATTCATCAAATTCCAAGCTGCATGACGTCATTTGATCCCCAAAACCTATTTTTCAAAAATTATCTTATCAACTTTTCTCAAGAAACTTGCAATTCTTCTTATTTACTCTTCTCATCTTCTCCGTTCCGCTCATTTATGACTCACATCAACAACATTTATGTCTAACACGAATTAAGCTTTTATTTTTTTCTCAGTCGCGTGCGAGACGCCGTTGAGTGTAAATTGAATGATTTTACTTCATAAAGACTGCAATTAAATTCGTTTTGTCGCTTGTAATTTAATTATTTGTTATTAAATATTCAATTTTTGAATTAACAAAGGAATTTTTACATGAAACGTGAAGTTGGGGCTTTACATGTGCAATTTACTGGAAGTAAAATTAAGATTGTTGTGGATAAATGCGGGAGATCTAGTCGAGATAGTCAGTGATTTCACGTGGAATTTTAAAGACGATTATTGCAGCTTCTAGCAATCCAGAAAGACTAGCTAGTTTTTAAGATTTAAGTTGTGATTATTGACTGAAGTAAGACTGAACAATTCAGGACTATTTTGCCAAAACTAGTCGAAAAAGGAAGCTATATTTCAAATTATATCAATCAACAAATTAGTTGAATATTGTATTACACAAAGTAATACTATTCGGAGTGAATCATTGCTTCAAATACTCCAAAATGAGGTGACTAATGTTTATTTTTGTATAATTTGTTGATTTATTGAGCATGGGTTTTGATGAAATTAATAATAAACCAGATAAAAGATGAAAAATTCAAATGTGAAGGCATCTGAACAAAAAGAGGTTCAAATGTGAAGGCACCTGAAACTCAAAGGTTTAATGTAAAGGCATCTGAAACTCAAAAGTTTAGTTTGAAACCACCTGAATCAAAAACAAAATAAAACACTAGTGTGAAGGCAGCTGAAATTCAAAAACTTATTGTAGAGGCACCTGAACCACAAAAACCTATTCTGAATACACCTGAATTTTATATTTTTCAGTGCAAAGTTCAAAAATCTATTTAAAAGGCACACTAACCACAAAACCGTTATTGTGAATGAACTTACACCTTAAACTTTAGTTTTAAAGCATATGAGGTTTATAATCTTATTGTAAAGGCACCCGATCCAAAAAAAACCTAGTGAGAAGGCACCTGAAGTTCAATTTTTGTTATTGAACACAAAATTTGCCTGCGAAAGCACCTGAATTTTAAAAAAATCATTGTGAATACACCTGAATCTTCAACGTCATAATTTGAAGGTACCTTAACCTCAAACTTTAGTGTGAAAGCTACTTAGCACCAAAAACTCTAGTGTGAAGACATCTGAAAATCAAAAACTCTAGTGTGAAGACATCTGAACATCAAAATCTCTAGTTTGAAGGCAACTTAATATCAAAAACACTAGTGTGAAGGCAACTTATTATCAAAAACACTAGAGTGAAGGCAACTTAATATCAAAAACTCTAGTGTGAAGGCAACTTAATATCAAAAACTCTAGTGTGAAGACATCTGAACATCAAAATCTCTAGTTTGAAGGCAACTTAATATCAAAAACACTAGTGTGAAGGCAACTTATTATCAAAAACACTAGAGTGAAGGCAACTTAATATCAAAAACTCTAGTGTGAAGGCAACTTAATATCAAAAGCTCGAATCTGAATCCACCGGAATCCCAAATCTTTAATGTGAAGGCACCTGAATCACAAAATTATTTTGCAAATGCATCTTTACCCCCAAATACTAGTGTCAAGTCACCTGAACATCAAAAAACTAGTGTTAATACACCTGAACTTAAAAACCTCAAGTGTAAATCCACCTGAACTGCAGAAAAATACTTTTAATTCCGCAAAAAAACCGCACAAACTCAATAAATCTCAAATAATTTCAAAATAAATCTACTAAATCCTAAACTTTATTTTTCTATCTTTTCTCTAAAAAAAACAAATCTTTACACAGATCTAATAAAACATTATTTTCTGCAACTATACTCATTGCACTTGCGACTAGCATCAAGGCCATCGTGATCAACTGCAATTTTACTACATTCTCTGTCGATGATTTAATTCATCTCGAAGTCGATAAATCTCCAAATGTTTATGGATGTGTTGTTGTTGGATTTTCTGATTTAAACAAACCAGAAGTATCAATTACTGGAAATCATACGAATTTGAGAGGAAATGATGATGTTGTTGGAATTTCTGTTGAAGATAAGAATGTCGGGGAATTACTGAATAATATTGGGGGAGTTTTTGTGAATGTTAAAGACATGTTGATAAGAGACTGTATGATTAGTGGAATTGAGTTTGGAGGGTTTAAGAAACTGGAGACGTTGGTGATTGTTGGGAGTGATTTAAAGGAAATTGGAGTTGAGTTCTTTGAAGAGAATCAGAATTTGAAGCAGATTTGGATATCAAGGAATGAAAAATTGTCAAAAATTGACCATCAAGCTTTCATTGGGCTGCAAAACCTGACAATTCTTAATCTAAGCGAGAATTCCTGCACAAATGGAGCTAAACTGAACCAAACTGATATTAAGGAGGTGCTGAATGTCATAAAACTAAATTGTAATGCTCAACAGACAAGTGTCAACAGTTTAGAACCAAATAGAACTGAATCTAGTCTTCAACAGTCGACTGACATTGATAAAAATGAGCTAGCAGGTCATCTACACTCAATTGCATCTAATCACATATCAGCAATAGCTCATCTAGCTGTAAATCATCAGAAACTGCTAAATCAATCCCAAAACTCAGATTCAGATGATCAAGCTAGTCAGATTGACCAAATTATGATTGAAAAGTCATTGAACTCAACTGAAACTATTGAAAATGGACAAAGTTCTACAGAACAACCTACAGATATGAATAGATCTACCCAGCAAGACCTAAAGCATCAGAGTAACACTTCTGTCTCATCAGTAGGTCCAAGCTCATCTCCAAAACTTGACCAACCTACTCCACAGCCAGACAAACCTACTCTACAACCTAAAAACCAACCAATTCAACAACCTCAATCATCAACTCTTCAAACTCCATCAACAAAAACCCCCGACAACCCAACTCCAACCTCAACAAATCAGCAACACAACCTTATTGACTCAAACACACCAAAAACAACTTTAACAAGCACTCCAAATGTCGCACAGTCAACAGGCAATTCTGAAATGCCAAAACAATCGATTGACATTAAAGCTAATGAAGAGTCAACGAGTGAGTCGAGTGGAAATGGAAAGGCGATAGTTATTTGTGTTATGTTTGGAGCTGTTGCTATTCTTATGGGTGCTGCAATGTTAGTTAAGCGAAAGCAGACGAAGACTTATGATGGGGTGCTGTTGATTGATAGCACGGATGTGTGATTTTTTGTAGACGTATTGTGAAATTTTAGTGAAATTGTCTGTCATGAGGCTTTGTGAAGGGGGGAAACAACTTGATGAGAAGCTGTTTTGATTTGGAATTCTCGTTAAGGAGTCATCTTGCATCATGCAACTGGTGAAATGATTGATTATTGTCGGAAAATTCAAAGAAATAATCAAAATGTTGTTATAATTTTTCATCGAAACTTTTTCCATCAGGCTGTTTTCCCCCTTCTTTGTTGTCGAAATATTTAAATGTTAAAATAATGAATTTCATGTTTGAATGAACCTCAAAGTGAACCTTGAATTTAATGCATATTAAGTCTGAGACTGTTAATAATAAAATGATTAAGAATTATCAAAATAAAATATTATATTTGAGTAAATGTTGAACTCTGGTTAATTTTTGGATTAAGCTTGTCACGAATAAATCATTCTAGCAGAAATAAAAGACAGTTGGAGGGGGAGGGGGGGGGTACATGCGACCAGTAACCAGATTGTAAGGAAGCTAAGGAAGTTTGTTGTGGAAAACGAATAAAATATGACTGTAATCAGGGAAGGTTGCACAGCCAAGCCTGTCCTTGGTGCACAGCAGGTGCGTAGCCAGGAGGGTCTTGCCCCCCCCCCCCCCCCCCCCCCCCCCTAAACGTTTTGAACCACAGCGAGAACACAGCCTAAAACGCTTAAGAAGGGGACAAGACCATCCTGGCTTCGCGCCTGGTGCACAGCATTCAAAAAGGGACAACATTAAGGCTCGGGTTCCAACAATAAAGAGTTGAATGCCTAGAAACTCAAATTTCACATAAAAATCCAACAAATTAATTTCCATTCTTCCAGGAACAAAACAAACTCACCTACGAGGTCGTCAAACTAGCACGCGATCTCATCTACTTCGGCTTCTACAGCTTCAGTGACTTACTGCGTCTGACTCGAACTCTCCTCTCAATCCTCGACTGTGTATCGGAAGGTGACATCGTTATTGATGTCCAAAATGTTGACATCGACTCAGAAGGTGGTGTCTTGAGAAGCATTGGTGATATGGGCGCAGTCATGACTCAATTGACACTTGGAAGTCCGCTGAGTAACAGATCAATTCCAACAATTCAACGAAGCAAGTCAGTCAGTCAATTGATGAAGGAATATCCACTTGTGATGGACACGAAGCTTAAAATTATTGAAATTTTGCAATTTATTCTCGATGTAAGGCTTGATTATAGGATCAGTTGCTTGCTGAGCATCTTTAAGAGAGAATTTGATGAGTCAGAGTCGATCAGTGCTGAAACTGTTGCTATGAGACAGAAGAATATCGATTTGGAGTCGATTGGATCGCAGGCTGAGGGAATATTTGATTATAAGAAGGTATGTATTTGGGTTTTGTGGGTTGCATATGTGCTAGGTGCAAGTTCTTATTGTGTCAACTCTTCCACAGACTTCAGCAAACTTAGATCTCGATGGACAAGGAGGAAGAACATTCCTCAGAGTTCTTCTCCACTTAATCATGCATGACTACCCATCCTTAGTCTCTGGAGCTCTTCATCTCCTCTTCCGTCACTTCAGTCAACGACAAGAAGTTCTTCAAGCCTTCCGACAAGTTCAACTGCTCGTCAGCGACCAAGACATTGAATCATACAAGCAAATTAAGACAGATCTCGATGTTCTCCGTCAATGTGTTGAGAAAAGTGAACTTTGGGTTTATAAAAGTAAAATTCATTCAGAAGATGACCAAGCAGCACAGCCACGACCTGAAGACACACTCGAAGGTGATGCAAATCTGTCAACGACTGAGCAAGTGTCTGAATATCAAAAGATTCAAGATATTTTAATCAGAATGAATAAGCTGTGCATTAGCGTGGGTTCTAGTTCAGGAATGATTAAGCCAAGGAAGCATGAACAAAGGCTGTTAAGGAACGTCGGTGTCCATACTATTGTCCTTGACCTCCTACAGGTTCCATATGATGAGAAAGATGACATTAAGATGAACAAATTGATGCAACTGGCTCATCAATTCCTTCAAAATTTCTGTCTTGGGAATCAACACAATCAAGTGCTGCTCCACAAACAGCTTGACTTATTCCTCAACCCAGGAAGTCTTTATGCTGAGACAGTCTGTGCAATTTTTAAAGATAACATGACACTTTGCAATGAAGTCGATGAGAAAGTCATTCAGCACTTTGTGCATTGCATTGAGATTCATGGACGGCATGTTGAGTACTTGAAGTTCCTTCAAACTATTGTTAAGGCTGAGAATCAGTTTATTAGAAAATGTCAAGACATGGTCATGCAAGAATTGGTCAATGCTGGTGAGGATGTTCTCATATTTTACAATGACAAGTCTAGTTTCAATACATTTATGGAAATGATGAGGAACTACACAAAGGGGACGATGGAGGATCCTAGTGCATTAAATTATCATATTGAACTGGTTAGATTGCTGGCATGTTGTACCATGGGTAAGTATTATTAAGGTTAAGCTTCTTTTAAGCTTAGCGTTGTTCAAGCTGAGCGTTGTTCAAGCTGAGCGTTGTTCAAGCTGAGCGTTGTTCATGCTGAGCGTTGTTCAAGCTGAGCGTTGTTAAAGCTGAGCGTTGTTCAAGCTGAGCGTTGTTCAAGCTGAGTGTTGTTCAAGCTGAGTGTTGTTCAAGCTGAGCGTTGTTCAAGCTGAGCTTTGTTCAAACTGAGCATTGTTCAAGCTGAGCGTTGTTCAAGCTGAGCGTTGTTCAAGCTGAGCGTTGTTCAAGCTGAGCGTTGTTCAAGCTAGACTTTGTTTAAGCTGAGCGTTGTTTAAGCTGAGCTTTGTTCAAGCTGAGCTTTGTTCAAGTTGGGCGTTGTTCAAGCTAGGCTTTGTTCAAGCTTAACTTTGTTCAATCTGAGCGTTGTTCAAGCTGACCTTTGTTCAAACTGAGCGTTGTTCAAGCTGAGCGTCGTTCAAGCTGGGCGTTGTTCAAGCTGAGCGTTGTTTAATCTGAGCGTTGTTCAAGCTGAGCGTTGTTCAAGTTGAGCTTTGTTTAAGCTGAGCGTTGTCCAAGCTGAGCGTCATTTAAACTGAGCTTATCGTTTGCCCATTTTTTTTACAATACTCGCATATTTTATCCGTTACAGGCAAGAACGTCTACACAGAAATCAAATGCAACAGCCTCTTAGCACTCGATGACATCGTCTCAATAGTTTCCCACCCTGATTGCATTCCAGAAGTTAAAGAAGCTTACATAGACTTCGTCAACCATTGTTATATAGACACAGAAGTAGAAATGAAGGAAATTTACAGCTCAAATCACATGTGGAATATTTTTGAGCGTTCATTCCTTAGTGACATTCAAACTGTTGTTGATGTTGGACCTGCCAATGGAAAAATGGAGAATTACGTGCTGAATGAAGTGATGACGATTCTTATTTCATTCTTTTCATCGCCATTTAGTGATCAAAGTACAGCACTGCAGAGGAGACAGCTGATTTTCATTCAATTACTCCAAAAAGTCTACAAACTATCACAATTAAAGTTCCTTACTGCACCACAAAAGTTTAGCGTCGAAAGCTGCATCAAAACTCTCATTGAAGTCGCAAAAACTCGTGTAATAGCAATTCCAACAGATTTAGAAGGTGCTGTAGTCAACATGTTTAGCAAAACTGCATTACTGACAAGACAGACTAGTAAATGGCTAATGGCATCAAAACAAACGAAGCTTGATAGATCGCTTAGTCAACCGAAGCTAGATAGAAGCATCATTGAAGGATTGCAGGACATTGTGAGCTTGTTGGAGGATCAGTTGAAGCCACTTGTTGAGGCTGAGCAGAGTTTGCTGGTTGATATTTTGTATAGGTGAGTGAGTTTCATGCTATGTTGCCAAATTTTTCAATTTTTATATGAAATTTATGCAATGTTGCCAGGTTTGTTCAAATTTGGCTAAATATTTGGACATTTTTATAAGATTTGTTAAATTTTAGCATAAAATTTAAGATTTGTTGCCGAATTTCAGACAAATTCGGGCAACAATTTTATGCAGTGTTGCCAGTTTTCGTAAGAAAATGACAAATTTTGACCAAAAATTTATACATTGTTGCTAGATCTTCATTAAAGATGTTCAAATTAAATTAAATATTTTAAGCTATGTTGCCAAATTTTTCAATTTGTTTACGAATTTATGCAATGTTGCCAGGTTTGTTCAAATTTGGCTAGATATTTGGACATTTTTATAAGATTTGTTAAATTTTAACAAAAGTTGTAAGCTATGTTGCCAAATCTCAGACAATTTCGATCAAAATTTTAAGCAGTGTTGCCAGATTTTCATAAAAAATGATAAATTTTGACCAAAATTTGTGCATTGTTGCCAGATTTTCATCAAAGTTATTCAAATTAGATCAAAAAAAAAAGAAAAGCTATGTTGCCAAATTTACATCAAAATTTCTTTCCGATTTCAGATCCGAGCTCCTATTTCCCCTCGGTTCCGAGTCTCGCAAGCGCTGTGAAGCTGGTGGCTTCATCCGTCGTCTAATAAAACACGCAGAACGTCTTTTAGAAGAAAAGGAAGAGAAGCTTTGTGTAGAAGTCCTAAGAACCTTAAGAGAGATGATGGCACTAGACATGGAATATGGAGAAAAAGGCGATCGACTACGAAACAACCTACTTGAAAGATATTTTGGCTCTGAAGCATTTAAAACTCCACAAACGAAGCAGCCAGCAAAGAAAATTAAAGCAATAGTAGCTATTAAGGCATCGTCTGTAAAAGTCCATAAAGAGACACTTGAAGAGTCAAAAGGAGCTCCTGTTTTAGTAACTCATGGTCCTGGTGCCAAATATCTAAGTCGAGCTGGAAAGACACTTTATGAAGTCCAAAATATGTTGGATAAAGAAGGCGCGAGTGACTTAGTTGTGGAACTTGTCATCAAATCTCTTCACAGTCCATCGATCTTCATGGAAGCTGTGGAACTTGGAATAGCCTTACTTGAAGGTGGCAACAATGTCATTCAACGTGGCATGTTCAATAAGTTCCACACAGTCGATCCATCGCCAGCATTCTTTAAAGTATTTTATGATAAAATGAAGGACGCTCAAGTTGAGATTAAATCAACAGTCACAGTCAATACGACAGACTTAGCAGCAAAAGCTAATGAGAATCGAGAATATCAACGAGATGTGGACCGAATCAGTCGACGAACAGCTCCGATCAGATCAAATGGAATTGTTATAACTGATGAATTTAGGGACGAACTTAATAATGCTGGAATATCAACAGCACGAGCTTTTGCAGCTGCAAGAACATTCACAGGTGCCGCTGATGAATATGCTAGCTCAACATCAAGCTGTCCTAATCCATTGGAAGAAATTCTAGCTGAAAAACTTGAAAAACACAAGGAAAAGGATCAGAGGGAGAAATTGTCACCGAAGGTGTTGGTTATGAGACCGATTTTAAGGTTCCTTCAGTTGCTGTGTGAGAATCACAATCCAGACTTACAGAACTTGTTAAGGAATCAAAGCAACAAGACGAATTTTAATTTAGTATCTGAAACTTTGATGTTCTTGGACTGCATTTGTGGTTCTACGACAGGTGAGTTGCTTCATTTGGGATAATAGGTGACACTAAGGTGGGGTTCGGGTCAGATTGAGTGGGTTTGATCCTTAACATTGGTCCAATGAAATTAAAACTAATCCAAATCTTACCAACAGGTGGTCTAGGTCTACTCGGTCTTTACATCAACGAGAACAACGTGTCACTCATCAATCAAACACTTGAAACTCTGACTGAATATTGTCAAGGACCATGTCATATAAATCAAAACTGCATAGCTACTCATGAGTCAAATGGACTTGATATCGTTACAGCTTTGATACTGAATGACATCAATCCTCTTGGGAAGAATCGGATGGACTTGGTGAGTTGCTAATTGCCTTAAGATCCTCAAGCTCAACTTATTCTAAATTCTCAAAATTCCAGGTCCTCGAGCTCAAAAACAACGCTTCAAAACTCCTTCTAGCCATTATGGAGTCCCGTGGTGACTCAGAAAATGCCGAACGCATCCTTTACAACATGAATCCTCGTCAACTCGTTGAAGTTGCTTGTCGTGCTTACCATCAAGAAGGTGCAATGGAAGAAGAGGATGATGAAGGTGATGGAGACGACGATGACTCAGTATCACCAAAAGAAGTCGGTCACAACATTTACATTCTCTGTCATCAACTTGCTCAACATAATAAAGACTTGGCACAATACTTAAGACAATCGGATACGTCAAATTTCGATGAAAAGTCGCAGAGGGCTTTGGTGTTTTACGCGAATCATACAGCACAAATTGAAATTGTTAGAAATGATAGGACTTTGGAGCAGATTGTGTTTCCTATTCCTGAGATTTGTGAATATTTGACGAATGATACGAAAGTTAAGGTTTTAAATACTGCTGAGTTGGATGATCAGGGTTCGAAGGTATGTAGACTTGTTGATTGTATTCCAATCCTAACCTAAAACTGAATTTCAATCCTAACCTAAAGCTTGATTCTAATCCTAACCTAAAACTGGGTTTCAATCCTAACCTCAAACTAGATTCCTATCCTAACCTCAAACTAGATTCCCATCCTAACCTCAAATTAGATTCCAATCCTAACCTCAAACTAGATTCCAATTCTAACCTCAAACTAGATTCCAATCCTTACCTGGAACTAGATTTCAATCATAACCTCAAACTAGATTCCAATCCTAACCTCAAACTAGATTTCAATCCTAACCTCAAACTAGATTCCAATCCTAACCTCAAACTAGATTTCAATCCTAACCTCAAACTAGATTCCAATCCTAACATCAAATAGACACCAATCCTAACCTCAAACTAGATTTAAATCCTAACCTCAAACTAGATTCCAATCCTAACATCAAATAGACACCAATCCTAACCTCAAACTAGATTTCAATCCTAACCTCAAACTAGATTCCAATCTTAACCTCACACTAGATTCCAATCCTAACCTCAAACTAGATTCCAATCCTAACCTCAAAATATATTTCAATCCTAACCTAAAACTAGATTCTAATCCTAACCTCAAACTAGATTTCAATTCTAACCTCAAACTAGATTTTAATTCTAACCTTAAACTAGATTCCAAGAACCTAACCTTTAAAAAATCTCAAAATATTTCCAGGTCGCTGACTTCTTTGACAGAACAGAATCAATGTTCAACGAGATGAAATGGCAAAAGAAACTCCGAGGACAACCAGCTCTATTTTGGGTTTCATCATACATGTCACTCTGGGCAAACATTCTCTTCTACTGTGCTGTACTTAGCAATGTTATAGTCGCATTCTTCTATCCATATGAAAATAATCTTCCAGAACTTAAAGTCCATGTCTCGTTAATCATTTGGATAGGCTTCTTCATATCAATTGCACTTGTTATTACTCGACCGACACAAATGACGACTCGAGTGCTTTCTGCTTTTGTGATTTGTAGGCTTATATTTTCAATTGGACCAGAGCCAACTTTGTGGATTCTTGGAACGTCGACAGTGATTTTAAAAGGGATTCATATTGTTTCAATTATGGGCAATCACGGAACATTGGAGAAGAAATATACAAAAATTATTACGGATGCTGAACTGTTATATCATTTTGGGTATATGATGTTCTGTGTGTTTGGGTTGCTGCTACATCCGTTCTTTTATTCATTGCTGGTAAGTTTGGAAGGTTGAAGGTTTATGTGGAAATTCTAGATGTGCTCAAATTTTAGCTCTTTGATGTCGTCTATCGAGAAGAAACTCTACTGAATGTGATCCGGTCTGTAACTCGTAATGGAAGGTCTATCATCTTAACTGCTGTCTTGGCTATAATTTTGGTCTACATGTTCTCAATTATTGGATATATCTTCTTCAAGGACGACTTCTTGGTGCCAGTTGATGAGGATTTAGTTGGTGAGTTTGACTTAACCTCAAAATTGAATTCTGAACCTAACCTCAAAATTGAAATTTCGAACCTAACCTTAAAATTGAATTCTGAACCTAACCTTAAAGTTGTATTCTGAACCTAACCTCGAAATTGAATTCTGATCCTAACCTACAAATTGAATTCCTTACCTAACCTCAAAAATTAAATTCTGAACCTAACCTCAGAAATTAAATTCTGAACCTAACCTCGAAATTAAGTTCTGAACTTAACCTCAAAGTTAAATTCTGAACTTAACCTCGAAGTTGAATCTTAAACCTAACCTCAAAATTGAATTCTGAACCTAACCTCAAAATAAATTCTGAACCTAACCTCAAAATTGAAATCTCGAACCTCACCTCAAAGTTGAAATCTGTACCTAACCGCAAAACTGAATTCTGAACCTAACCTACAAACTGAATTCCGAACCTAACCTCAAAAATCTATCTCATTCCAGAAAACTGCAATCTCGAGTCATCTGATCCACGCTCATTCTTCATGTCAGCAATCAACCAAAACTACTGTGAACAAAGGAACCTCGAAGTCACTGACAAAAATGATGATGACGATGGAGAAGTCAAGGAACGTGCCTGTGATTCACTCCTAATGTGTATAGTCACAACAATGAACCAAGGTCTGAGAAACGGAGGTGGAATTGGTGACATTTTGAGAGCTCCATCCAGTAAAGAACCGCTGTTCATGGCTCGCGTTGTTTACGATCTTCTTTTCTTCTTCATTGTCATTATTATTGTATTGAACCTCATTTTTGGTGTCATTATTGACACATTTGCGGATTTGAGATCTGAGAAGCAGCAAAAGGAATTGATTTTGAAGAACACTTGCTTCATCTGTGGATTGAACAGATCAGCTTTCGACAACAGAACTGTAAGCTTTGAAGAACACGTCAAGGTTGAACACAACATGTGGCAGTATCTGTTCTTTATGGTCTTGATTAGAGTTAAGGATCCGACTGAGTTTACAGGACCTGAAAGTTATGTTCATGGAATGATTAAGGCTTTGTGTTTGGATTGGTGAGTCATGCCTTTTTCTATAGTTTGAGCTAATTGCAAGCTTTTTTGGATTCTAGGTTCCCAAGACTTCGAGCAACATCTTTGGATACTGTGGAAGGTGAAGGAGATCAACTTGATGTGAAGAGCCTTAATAAGGAGCTTGAAAAGACACAAGATCTGGTGCTGCAGCTGTCTAAACAGTTGTCAGAGTTAAAGGATCAGGTAAGTGACAACCTACGACTTAGTCAAGGCACATCTAGTCTTGCATTTAATAGAATGAGTCAAGCTGGATGTGTCTTAGCTGTTCAGGCACTATGTCTTAGCTCAGAGCCTTGATGGAAATTAATTCTGGTTAATAATTAAATTTTTCAGATGACAGAGCAGCGCAAGCAGAAGCAACGTTATGGCTTACTCAACCCAACAGCCTCAGCCTCATATCAATTTGGCAATCAGTTCTTGTAGCAATCTTAGATGTGATAAGAGATTAATTTATGCAGTAATAAGAATCATCATACTAGCTGGAACTTGCTAAATCGAACTTATAACAAAAGTTAATTCATCAAAATTGTAGAAATTTGAAAAAAATGTTAAAAATTTATATGAAATATGACTTATTGAAAATTTAAATTATTTTAATAGCTAGAATATTTTTAGAAAATATCAATTTTTAATTGCAAAATTTAAGTTTTCTATTTTTAAAATTTCAATTCTTTTTACTTACATTTGTGCTTAACTTATTCTTAGTTCTATTTTGTGCAATAATTTTATTAAACTTTTTTATGATTTCGGATTTAAAATTTTGCTTTAAGTTTTCAAAAATTTTGTTTTTATTTTTTAAAAACTATTATTTTAATTCAAAAGTTTAAAAAACTTAAAAATTTGAAAATGTTAAAAAGTTTTAAAATTTTAAAAGATTGAAAATTTGTAAAATTAAAAAAAAATTAACCTTTTTGAATAACTTTAAAATTTAAACAATATTAATTTAATTTTTTTTTAAAAAAAATTAAAATTTCAATCTTAAAATCCAATAAATTATTGAACCATGGCGACAGCCAGGATGAATAAAAATCTAAAAATCACTTCCTGGATAATCCTCAATGTTAAACTTTACCATTCTCTTTAAAAATCTCAAAAAATCTACTTAAACATTGTTAAACGCCTCGAATAGTTAAAAACACATATTCACATTAGTTTTATTTATAAGGAGCAATGCTCAATGGTTCTAGAATATTAAAATATAGTCTCAAAATTTTCAATTTATTTCAAAAAAAATAATTGCACAATTGTTAAAAAGTTTAGGAAATTGAAAACTTTATTATTATTATTGTTTAAAAAATGAAGAAAAAAACTTCGTAGTAAAAAATTAAATTTGAAGTTGAAAATGTTAGAAAAATTATGAAATAAAAATTGTTCAAAAAGTTAACTTCTTTTTAATTTATTTTTTACTTTATTTTCAGGAACAAGCTGAAATGGAAGCAGTCAGAAACTCTTGAGTAACCATTAGAACCTCAGAAAGTATTGTCAATGATGCAAACTTCTTCAAGGATGCAAACATCTGCTTCAATGATGCAAACTTTTGCTTCAGTGATGCAAACTTCTGCTTTAAAGCTGCAAACTTCTAGTTCAAAGATACAAACTTCAGCTTCAAAGATGCAAACTTCTGCTTTAAAGCTGCAAACTTCTGCTTCAAAGATGCAAATTTCTGCTTTGAAGACGAAATCTTCCGCTTCAATGATGCAAATATCTGCTTCAGAGATGCAAACTTCTGCTTCGAAGATTCGATTTCTGGTTCTAAGTTGCAAACTTCTGCTTCACAGATGCAAACTTCTGCTTGAAAGATGCAAATTTCTGCTTCAAAGATGCAAACTTCTGTTTTAAAGCTGCAAACATCTGCTTCAATGATGCAAACACCTGCTTCAATGATGATAACATATACTTCAAAGATGCAAACATCTGCTTCAAAGATGCAAATTTCTGCTTTAAAGACGAAATCTTCTGCTTCAATGATGCAAACTCCTGCTTCAAATATGCAAAATTCCGCTTCAAAAATGCAAATTTTTGCTATAAAGTTGCAAACTTCTTGTTCAAAAATGCAAACTTCTGCTTCAAAGATGCAAATTTCTGCTTTAAAGACGCAATCTTTCGCTTCAAAGATGCAAATATCTGCTTCAATGATGCAAACTTTTGCTTGAGTGATGCAAACTTCTGCTTTAAAGCTGCAAACTTCTAGTTCTAAGATACAAACTTCTGCTTCAAAGATGCAAATTTCTGCTTCAAAGAAGCAAACTTCTGCTTTAAAGCTGCAAACTTCTAGTTCTAAGTTGCAAACTTCTGCTTCAAAGATGCAAACTTCTGCCTTAAAATTGCGAATTATCAAACCTGTCAATCAGTAGACCTAAAACTTCTAATCAGCAATCAAAAAACATAAGGTTTCAGTTTCATTTTTAATTTTTATTCTCATAAAAAAATGTTCAATTGATTTATCTAAGTAACATGTACAATAATCACGAAGCAAACAAATGTCAAGTAACATGCAATTGATATTAATTTAAAATATTCAGCACCTTTGGCATCGTCGTTGTCAGTTTTTGATTTTTTATAAAATATAAATCCGAGTAAAATTCCACAAATGGCACCTGAGATGTGGGCAACAATGTGAATCTTTGGTTCTTCATTGTTATTAAGAAGGCAGTGACTTAACGAGTGAATCACGTCGCTGAGGGTTAGGACGACTACAAAAACTATTCGATAGCACCGGTAGGAGATGGTTTGGAAGTTCTGGAATGAGAATAAAGTAATTTTTTGAGGTTAGGTTACAAAATTCTTCAAAATTTGAGGTTAGGACTCAAAATTAATTATAAAACTAAACTTACCAAATAAACATGAGCCAAATGACTCATCAGTAAGCTATAAATCCCTGAACTAGCACCAACCATCATCATTCCATCATTATTAAGGCTAGCAGCCAATGAACCACTCAAGACACCACCAAAATATACAAAAAATGTCCTAAAATGTCCAGTTTCAGTCTCTAGTGGCAGTGAAATGACGAGTTGGAGGATAATGTTGATAATGAGATGAGCTGTACCAGCATGAAGAAGTGAATATGTAAAAAATCTCCAAATTTCAGACTTATGGTTTGATGAGAAGGCTAGGAGTTGATATGTTCTGTCTGTTGAGTTGAATGTGTTGAAGAAAAGCTGGAAGGTATTAAAATAATAAAGGTAAGCTATTAGTAATTTTTAACGACATAACCTCAATTTTTTTGAGAATTTGGTAACTTAACGTTCAAAAGGTTCTGAATATTTTGTGACATAGCCTTAAATTGTTATAAAAAATTGAGACCTTACCTCAAAATTTTGGTTAATATAGTGACATAACCTCAAAAATACTGAGAATAATTGACATAACCTCATTTTTTTGAATATTTAGTGACCTAACCTCAAAATTGTCTGCGATTTTTGTAGTCTAACCTCAAAATATCTCAGGATATAGTGACCTAACCTCAATTATTCTAAAAAAATTGTAGCTTAACCTCAATCTTATTTAAAATTTTGTTGACATAACCTTAAAATATTGCAGCCTAACCTTAAAATCAAAACCCTTTTCATCTTCGACCAATTATTTATTAATCATATTCCACCAGATGCAAAATATCTCTCCCAAAAAAGTCGGCTGGAAATCCACACCATTGACATAATATTTATTCAAAATCAAGGTTTTCTAATTAGCAAATTTTCCAGCTTGAATCTTTTTTCCGATGAATTTTAAACCTCATATATTTATTTCATTGGAAGTAGACCAATTAATAAGAATCTTCTTTTGTTTATTGAGGAAAATTTTCGCAACTTATCTGTTTCAAATCTTTGAATTTTCTCAGTTTATAAAGTGTTTATGTTTACTCGGTGGGAGTGGGATCGTGGTAATAAATTGAGGTTTGCAGAAAATTAATGATCAAATTTTGAAGTCTGTTTTGGTGAAGTTTTAGAGACTTGAACTTAAAATTTATCAGATTTTAGTCACGTAACCTCACAATTTTATCAAATTTCAGTCGCTTAACCTCAAAATTTGGAAGAATTTAGGCACATAACCTCAAATTTCATCAGATTTCAGTCGCTTAACCTCAAAATTTATCAGATTTTAGTCACTTAACCTCAAATTATGGAAGATTCAAGTCACATAACCTCAAATTTTATAAAATTTCAGTCGCTTAACCTCAAAATTTGGAAGATTTTAGGCACATAACCTCAAATTTTATCAGATTTCAGCCGCTTAACCACAATTTTATCAGATTTTAGTCACATAACCTCAAAATTCATAAAATTTCAGTCACTTAACCTCAAATTTTGGACCTTTTTGTCACATAACCTCAAAACTTAACTCCAACTGAACTTACCTGAACAACACTAAACACAATCATCATCCAAGGCACACCCCACGGGCACTTCTTCAAACATTTTCTAATAATCTCCTTCCACTTCTTCCGCTCCCTCTCTCTAGGCATAAATCCATCCTCATTCACGACAAATCCATTACTTATTGCATAAAGTTTCTCTTCAGTCGTTAAACTTTTCCGTTCACTTCCCCAACCCCACGACCTTTGTGTCTTCTTCTCATTCTCCTGTGGTGTGACTTTAATCATCCAATTTAGACGATCAATCAGACTTTTATCAGTCATAATTGTGTTAATTAATATATTTTTTGGTCTAACTACGGTGGAGTAGATGCGTTAGCAATGCAGCATTACCGGCAACTGAGATTTGAGTTTGGATTTTTTCTCTGTTGATGAAAAGAAAATGAGAAAATAATTTAAAGAATTAAAAATAGAAGAAAATGAGAAAAATGTTTTTTGAATTATGCGGGAATTTCCGTGATTTTTGGGGGGGGGGGAGGATTTTAGGGGGTTCTAGATGAATTTGTAAATAAATTTTGATAATTTTGCTCTGATTTAAGTGAACGTTATGATTGGTGAGCTCATAAATCTAGTTCATATGGATCATAGATTCTATAAAATTACATCCAAGGCTGCTACCCTGGCCATGATCGACCATAAGTCCAAATGCGCCTTATACCCTTCAACCGCCCACAACACCAACTTCATATGTAGATTTTAATTTCGACTAAGATAAAATAAACTCTTTATTTACTCAGTTAATGATGCAGGGATGTAACATGAGATTTAATGTATGGGAAACTCTCAGAAAACTAAGTGAAAATCATGGGAAAATTCATTTTGTATGATTATAAGTTATGGTTGTCGAGATATCAACACTCGAGATTTAGAAATTAAAATTTATATATGTAATGAAAAAATTTTGATGTTTATTAACTTGAATATTAATGGTTTTGATGGGATTTATGAGTTTTAGCTTCATAAGCCGCAAGCATGAAATTTGAAACTAGACAATAACTGACTACATAGTCAAAAATAAGCAAATTTTGTCTTAATTGTGATCGTTATCAAGTTTACAATCATTCTGTGATGCCAAAACAATGTTTTAAAAATTTTTTACTTCATAAGCCGCATTTCTAAATTCAGGACCTATCAAAAAATTTATCATAATTGATAAAATAATTCAATTTTAATCTTAATGTTCTGCCACACGCAATCATAGTACAACACACGGGTCTTAAAAATCCATTCCAATCCGCGGCTTCTAATCCTAAAACACAATCTCCTTTATTTTCCTACTCCAATAAAAACTATCATCATCTTCACGCTAAATCGTTTTTATTTTCTTTCGTGCTCTTTAATTTCATCTAAATTTTGTGTTTATCGCCCGACTTGAGCTGTGAAATTATTTTCTCTTTTGCCTTTTTCACGTCTTCTTTATGACTTTTTAATACTCCGTATGTTTTACATCACACAACGCGTTCTGCTTTTTCTCGTGTTAATTTGTAAACAAAAAATTCTCTCATTAAATTCGATTGATTTTTTGACACTTCTGAAGTGTATGAAGTTGTAATTTGTAAGTCAACTGGTTAAGTAGGGTTTTATGGATGCAGATTGGGCTTAGGCTTAGCAATGGCTAAGATTAATTGTCATTCAAGACTTATTTGTAGCCAAAGCTATGAATTTCTATGGTTAAGCATTAATTAATATGACTTGACATTGATTAGGCTTAACGTAACCGAGGCTGAGAGTTTCACGGCTTAGCGTTACTAAGCCTGAGTGTTATTAAGGCTGAGCGTTACCAAGAGGTAGCGTTACTAAGACTGAGCGTTATTAAGGTTTAGAATTACTAAGACATAGCATAACTAAGGCTAAGCGTTATTAAAGCTGAGCGTTATTAAGGCTGAGCATTATTAAGGCTGATAATTACTGAGAGACAAAGCGTTACGTAGACAGAGCGTCACTAAAGAAGAAAATTACGATTGCTGAGTGTCACTAAGGCTGAGCGTTACTAAAGCCGAGCATTACTAAGGTAGAGTGTTACTAAGACTGAGCGTTATTAAGACTTAGCGTTATTAAGACTGAGCGTTATTAAGACTGAGCGTTATTAAGACTGAGCGTTATTAAGACTGAGCGTTATTAAGGCCAAGCGTTCCTAAGACATAGTGTTACTAAGGCAGGACGTTACTGAGACAGAGCGTCACTACGGCTGACCGTTACTGAGGCTGAGTGTCACTAAAGCAGAGTTTTATTAAAGCTGAGCGTTACTATGTCTGAGTGTTACTAAATCTGAACATTACTAAGCGTGAGGTTTACTAAGGCAGAGAGTTACTTTTACTGAGCGTTACTAAGGCTGAGCGTCAATCATGGCTGATCATTCACTAAGACAAAGACAGAGCGTTACTAAGGCTGAGCGTTAACAAAGGCTGAGTGTCAATTAAAACATAGCTTTAGTTTGAACATAATTAAGAGCTGAACTGTACTTCCTAAAAATGTGCATCGTACACATTTCTAAAATAACTTCCTTACTTGCTCCCAAATCCCTTCATTTACAGCAAGTGTTAATTATGTTTTCTACTCGTCTTTTGAACATTTTCTTATACTTATGTTATGTATGTCATTAATTACATTCAGAAGTCATGATCATCATCATCAAAAAGATGATTCAATTGATTTCCTTATTCAAAGAACATAATACGCACAAATGCATGGCAACAGCTGAGCCAAGCATCAAAATTCGAAGGGGAAAAATTGTTTTTCTTTTAATCAAAACATGAAAAATTTTTTATATGCTGCACACACACACATGAGATAAATGGAAAGAATAGATGAAAATGTTGGGAGATAAATGGAAAGAATAGATGAAAATGTGGGGACGAATGTGCCGTGCTGTGTGTGACTGAGACTGACACTGTGGAAGATAAATGAAGAAAATTTCTAATGCAATGAATCCGAAATGTAAACATTTTTTCCTGCATTTCGTTTAAATTTAGACAACAAAGTTGACTTTTTTTCTGTGTTATTCTAACTCGTGTTCTGTGTGAATTAAGTAAACAGAATTAAAATGTAAAAAAAGTCAGTTTTGTGTTATTTTTAAATTAACTTCGTTTGAGTGCATTTTTTTAAATCTAATTAATGGGAATGGGAAAACCTTTTGATGCATTTTTGTCGTGTTTTACTTCAAGATTGATGTGAGACGCAGTTTATGGATTAGATTAATGCTCGCTTGAGGTAATTTATGACGAATTTTTTTAAAAAACATCTTTCTTTATGTTGATGACGAGAGGGGTTCGTACTGAAGACATATTTAATATGGAGTTATTTTAGACATCCATCAAAAGTTGCAGTTGCCATGCAGCTATGGGGTTCAGTTTTAGAATTCTACTAAGGACAATTTAACGTGATTCTATTGAATTTTTGTAAAAATGTAATTTGACGAAGTAAGGTACTCAGTAAAGGTATAGAAGGAATTAAGAAAGGCAGGCGCGTAGCCAGGAGAATCTTGTCCCCCTCTTAAGCGTTTTAGACTGTGCTCTCGCTGCGGTTCAAAACGTTTAAGGAGGGAACAAGACCCTCCTGGCTACGCGCCTGAAGAAATCCAAAAGGGGGATTGGGGAAACCAAAGCCAGACTCTAAAGCTGATTAAATCAGTCAAGTGCAAACCTTCTCATGGTGTATGATACCGCTAAATGCACAGCTGGTGACCAAGGCAAGTGCCGGAATAAGTACTTAAAAGGATAGATCAAAAGCTAATCCAAACAACCTCGCCTGTAGAGTGGCAACTTGACATTCAAGCTAAGGTTGGTGAGGTTTAAAACCAATCATTTCCGATATCAACATAAATAAAGAAAGTAACAAAAGGTAAAATCTTAAAATAATATTTATCTTGGCACTAAGATTTATCTCACAAGATTAATTGCAACTTAGCATGATTGTAGTTGAATAGCTAGGAATAATAAATTTGAAATCATTAAGAAATCGACACTGAATTATTATGTAAAACAGACGTTATTAATGACAAAAGACCATCAACGCTTACAGTTCTTAACGTTCTATTAGGCGCGTGATCAGGAGGGGGGGGGGGGGGGGGAGGTGGAAATTTTGCGGACAAATCCACCGACGTTAACAGAAATTTCTTCATTTTGCTAAGAGTTTTATTATGAAAATTACAAAAATCCCCCCTTCCCTTTGAATTTTCCATATTAAATTTCACCCCCCCCCCCCTCTTCAAATTCCTGCCCACGCCACTGTGATCTATACTTTCTGATTTGATTTTACATCCTTAAATAATTTTAATTATTTACTTACATTTATACTCACTTCCGATCAATTTTTGCTGTACAACTGATTAAATATTTGACAATAATTGAAACATTGCAAAATTAAATTTTGTTGTGATTTTACAAAGTTTTGAAACTCAAACTTTTTTATTTTAAATTTGAATAAATCTCAATAATTGACAGTTATTTGTGATTTTTAAATTACTAATTGCACAATATTTATTAGGAATCTTAGAATTTTGCACTTGACAGCAATTTTAGAGTCAATTTTGAATTTTTATCAGGAACAATTCAAGATTTTAATTTTTTCACACACAATTTTTCACTTAATTCTCAATTTTAGATGAATTTAAATTTTTTTCATCCCAATTTTTAATAAATTTTCAAAATTTTCTCACTCAAAATTCAAAATTTCTCCCAAAACTTATCAATTTTCCAAAACCAAATAAAAAATGACACAGAAAAAAAAATTATTTTTCCGGCATCACATTTTTCCGTGTATTTCTTCCCTTCATCCTCAACTCCAACTGACCCAAATTCTTCTTATTTCGAGTTACATCCAAAAAATATTTTCCTTACTTTATGCGTTCCTCAACACTCACACAAGAGTCGTCATGACAACGACAAATCTTCACAGCAAGAAAAAAATGCGTTCATTCATAAATTACAACTTTTTTTTGTTGTTGTTGCGCACATGTGCTGTAATTTTTATGAATGAATGTTGAGATTTGCGGGACTGAAACAGATGCGAACCTTCTAAGAATGAGTTGTGGACTGAAACTAAAGTTGCTCAACACTTGATCGGATATGGACATTTAAGCATCTATGAAGTTAACAATGAATTTTATTTTAGGTTTATTGATTGATTAATTCGTCACGTTTTCGTGAGCGGCAAGTGGAACGTGATTGGCGCTTTAATTTTAAATTTTTTTTTGGACATTCTTTGTGCGATTTTTTAGATGCGACAAGAAGATTTGTGTGGCAAATTTTTTATTGTTCTGTGAATGAAAATTTATGGCAACAATTTTAAAAATTTTTCAGATTTTATGACATTATTGGATTATGTTGACATTTTTGAATGATTTTGACATTTTTGAATATTTTTG